TTGTCTTAGTCAAGTATGGGCTTTTTAAATAAAATACCATAGACTGAGTAACTGATAAAGTGTGTGTGTGTGTGTGTGTGTGTGTGTGTGTGTGTGTGTGTGTGTCCCAGGCTCAAGGCTAGTATTCTACCACTTGATCCTCATCTCCACTTCTAGATTTTGTTAGTTAACTGGAGATAAAGAGTACCATGGACTTTTCTGCCTAAGCTGGTCTTTGAACTGAGATTCTCCTATCTCAGTCTTCCAAGTAGTTAGGATTACAGGTATGAGCCACTAGCACCTGGCTATGTGGGTAACCCTTTATCCAAGTTCTGTGTCCTCAAATGAAGAATTAAGTATTGTGACATTTTTTTTTTGTCAGTAATGGGGCTTGAACTCTGGGCCTGGGTGCTGTCCCTCAGCTCTTTAGCTCAAGGCGAGAATTCTACCACTTGAGCCACAGCACCACTTCCAGTTTTTCTGGTGGTTCACTGGAGATCAGAATCTTTCGGACATTCCTGCTCGGCTGGCTCTGAACCAAGAATTGCAACATTTTTAAAGCTACTGTGATAATTAATGAAATTCGCTAGATGAAAATCCAAAGGCAGGGCTCCAGGGGACAGAATGTCCCACTGAGTTTCCAAATACCTCTGTAAGACTTTAGAGTAGCTGGGTGCTGGTGGCTTATGCCTGTAATCCTAGCTACTCAAGAGGCTAAGATCTGAGGAACATGGTTCAAAGCCAGTCCAGGAAGAAAGTCCGTGAGACTCTTATCTCCAATAAACCACTCAAAAAACCAGAAATGGGGCTGTGGCTCAAGTGGTAGAGCACTAGCCTTGAGCTGAAGAGCTCAGGGACAGTGCCCAGGCCCAAAGTTCAAGTCCCATGACCAACCAGAAAAAAAAAGATTTTAGAGTGGATTCCACATGAGTGAGATCACAGGTGTGTGTGTGTGTGTGTGTGTGTAATATTTATATGTAATATGACATGCAATAAAAGTGCTATTAGAAACATGTACCAGGCTGGATGAGTGAGTTCTATAATTTCTTTGTTTGAACAAGAGACTCTAAAGAAATGATAATCCACTGAAATACAGAAAACAGTCCAAAAATTCATATGAAATAACAAAAGACCTAGAATAGCCAAAACAATTCTAGGGAATAAAGACAACATGGGAGGGATATCCATGCTGAACTTCAAACTCTACTACAGAGCTACAATAACAAAGACAGCATGGTACTGGCACAAAAAACAGACCCGAAGACCAATGGAACAGAATAGAAGATCCAGAAATAAATCCACAGGCCTACACCCAGCTGATATTTGACAAAGGAGCCAAAGACATACAATGGAAGAAACACAGCCTCTTCAACCACTGGTGCTGGGAAAACTGAGCGGCCACATGCAGAAAACTAAAAGTGGACCCCAGCCTATCACCATGCACCAACATCAATTCAAAATGGATTAAAGACCTTAACATTAAACCGGAATCTCTGAAACTACTGCAGGACAGAGTAGAAGAGGCACTTGAACTAATAGGCACAGGAAGGAACTTCCTGAACAGAGTCCCAGGGTCACAACAAATTGGAGAGAGACACAACAAGTGGGACTACCTTAAAATAAAAAGCTTCTGCACAGCTAAATCTATCGCAACCAAGCTAGAAAGACAACCAACTAATTGGGAAAAAATATTTACTAGCAATATATCAGACAAGGTGTTAATATCCTGTATATACAGGGAACTCAAGAAACTAATCCCTCCCAAACCTAACAAACCAATTACTAAATGGGCAAGGGAACTAAAGAGGGACTTCTCAGATGAAGAAATAAAAATGGCAAAGAAACACATGAGGAAATGTTCATCATCCCTGGTGGTGAAGGAAATGCAAATAAAGACAACTCTGAGATACCACCTTACCCCAGTCAGAATGTCTTACATCCACAAATCAGCCAACGACAAATGCTGGAGGGGATGTGGAGAAAGAGGAACCCTATTACACTGCTGGTGGGAATGTACACTTATACAACCACTTTGGAAAGCAGTCTGGAGGGTCCTTAGAAAACTAAAGATTGACCTCCCTTACAACCCAGTCATACCGTTTCTAGGCATCTACCCTGAACAACAGGAACCAATATACAAGACACGTGCACCTCCATGTTTATTGCAGCACTGTTCACAATAGCTAGGATATGGAAACAACCCAGATGCCCCACCACAGATGAATGGATCCAAAAATTGTGGTATCTATACACAATGGAATATTATGCAGCCATTAGAAATGACAAAATAATGGCATTTGCAGGGAAATGGATGGAGCTAGAAGGAATCATGTTGAGCGAGGTAAGCCAAGAGCAAAGAGACAAACGGTACATGGTCTCCCTGATAAGTGGATGCTAAATCCAAAATGTTAGGTGATATGACAAAATTAACAGGACTTAAGAAACAAAGAACTCCCACTCATCTGGTTGAACCACTACTAAATATCTCCATGCTGCAGATCACATGTATGGTGTATAGTGTACACCGTTATATGTTATAGACTGTGATAGACAATTTGCTCCAGGAAAGTTAGAATGAACTTGTGACTTTAAATGAGCATCATTATTCCACAATACTGTGAAATTTGGGAAATTATGTAATCACTTAACCACAATTTAAAAAAAAAAAAAAAGAACCTCGGGGAAGGTAGGGAGGGAAGGGATGATAGGGAGAAAACAATGGAGGGGGTAACAATACTCAATAGGAAGTGTACTCATTACCTTGCTCATGTAACCGTAACTCTCTGTATAGTATCTTTACAATAAAAAATTAAAAAAAAAGAAATGATAATCAAGAGATTTTAGTAAACCATTATATACTACTACATACAGTATATATTATATTGTATATATTATATACATTAAATTGTTCTCTTATCAAGATATGCTGTATGTCATATAGTGTACATTATGTAGTAAAATAGTATGCATTGCAAAGTACATATCATAAATCATCCATAATATGTGCTATATACACTGTATGCATGTTATATAGAAGCATTTATTATATTAACATATATGTATATACATAATGTATTCTATTACACATGATATAATGTATTACCTAGTATATGTTTATTGCATTATAATATATTAACTATATTATAAATGCCTGTTTCTCTC